TGAGGATTCAAATGAAAACGAACCAACAAAAGCACAATTATCATAAAAATTGTCTAAGTAAATCACTCCAAACACAAAGCAAAGCAGGAAAATTGAAGGAAACCCATGTGAGTACATGAATCCGTGAAATCTATATCAGATGCGTACATGTATGTTTGCATAGAATCGAAGCAATAGAGAAGGAGAAGGAGAAATTGAAAATACGATACCATTGTTTGATTGCGACGAGGCTTTTCCCTCTTCGATGCGATCCGGGGACGGACGGATGCTTAAACCCTAGAAATCAAATCTGTGTTTTGTTTGGGGATTTTACGATCGGAGGAGTTCATGAATTCTGAGGAGCTGTGAACACGTAGGAGTAAGAAGCTGCTTGACCGTTTGTCGAATTACCCTTATAACCCTGCAAAGCCGGTTTTAATGGGCTTGTCTAGCGCAATTGTAATGTTTTCTTGGCCCAAAGCTAGTTTGCTTTGGGGAGATTAAGCTTGCGATCCAAGATTAAAGAAATTAACATAAGCTTATCAAAATACATTGTCATCGATCCATAGAATTTTGTGTTCAAGATCGACTAAAATATAGTAAAAATGGTCTTTGTAAAAAAAAATTAAAAAATATAAGATCTTTTAATCATCAAATTGTATAAAACAGATGGTCGTATTTAGTAAAAAAACATTTGCTTCTTTTTATTTACTAAACAATCTTAATTTTAATTGATTTTTCCAATAATGATTTTTAGAAAGTGATTTATAATGTGAAAAAAGAATCTTTTATAAAATTTAAGTTCCACTAACAGTCAATAATACTTTTGTTGTTGTGGTTAATATCCATTTAGGGATGTACTGTGTAAATCTAGAAGTAGATTCGAATAGGATTTGGGATATCTAATCCCTTTATGACTTGTATTGCTTGTGAGGAAAGAAAAAACCCACTTGATTATTATAATAAAAGTACAAGACCAAGGGAGAGTGCAATTTACAACCACTAAGCTCTCTCTTTTATCTCTCTTGTCGTCCCTCCCTACCCTTATCATACAGATTTTCCTTCAACACGTTATTATCACAAATTGTATCTCTAAGGGGAAGATCGAATCAAGAATGGTGTTCAAGAAATCGCTATCCAAGTATCTTCCAAACTTTATATTTGTTAAAGTTTTATAAGCCTTTATGCATGTTAACCATGCCATGAAGCATGAATCCTAATTTCAATTTCGAACTTATTTCTTGCTATGTTTCGATGGATTATTGTGATTCCATTGAGTTGGCTTGGAATCCTACTTCGTGCATGGTTCCGTTTATTTGGTCTAGAACCTTATATAGTTTGGATTCCATTGAGTTAGTCTGGAATCCTACTTTGTACATGGTTCAGTTGAGTTGGTCCGAAACCCTATATTCATTCTTTGGATCCCCTTGAGTTGGTCTTGAATCCTGTTTCGTGCATGGTTCCGTTGAGTTGGTCTGGAAACCCTATATTCTTTGTATTCCATCAAGTTAGTTTGGAATCTTACTCCGTGCATGGTTCCATTGAGTTGGTCTGAAACCCTACATTCTTTGGATTTCATTGAGTTGGTCTAGAATCCTACTTCGTGCATAGTTTCGTTGAGTTGGTCTGAAACCCTGTATTCTTTGGATTCTATTAAGTTGGTCTGGAATCCTTCATGTATAGTTTCGTTGAGTTGGTTCGGAACCCTATATTCTTTGGATTCCATTGTGGTGGCCTAGAATCCTACTTCGTCATGGTTCCATTGCTGGAGTGTAATGAATTATGCACGTTGAGTTTCATTTAGTGGTTCTGGAACTCGATGTTTTCCTGCTAGTTAATGCCATGAAAATTTTTGGAAGTTGTTGATGCACAAAATTAGTGAGGACTTTGATACAACAAAAAATGTTAAGTTTGTGACCTTCGCTAAATTGCTCCAGTCACTAGTGTGGATAAGTATGCAAATGAATAAAGATAGGGAAGGAAACACAAGATGTACATGGTTCACCCAGATTGGTTACGTCCACGGAGTAGAGGAGTTCTCATTAATTGTGAAGGGTTTACACAAGTACATAGATTCAAGCTTTCATTTAGTGAGTACTAGTGAATGATTTAGTACAAATGACATTAGGAAATATTGTGGGAGAATGATCTCCTTTTATAGAAGAGAGTTTCTAGCTTTGTTTTGATATTGACACGTGTCGTGTTGTGTTGTGATTGGCTTCTGATGTTGACACGTGTCGTGCTATGATTGGCTTCTGATGTCAACACGTGTCGCGCTGTTATTGGCCTCCTGGTTGGAGGGAAACTCTTCTCGGTCCTTGACGGTATAACTTTGACCGGTGCTCAGTAGTTTCGGAATTTGTCAAGTATGGTACAAACAAAAGTCATTGCAGATACAAGATTTTTTTTTATGCTTAACAAAATGGAAAATTACGAGTGACTTGATCCCTCACAAGGTACGTAGGTAGTCTTATCTGCATCCATATAATAAAATAAAATAAAATGTTACTACATTGTTGAACTAATGGTTTTTTTTAGTCATGTTCAAGGCGTGACAAATAACGCCACCATATCGAACTAAAATGGGTCTGCAAATAAGGTTAGGAATCTATGTCAGTTATGTTCCACCTTCAACTATTTGCTACTTAGAACCCTTGATATGCGATCTCTTTACATACCGTTAGGGGAGAGAAGGAACACCAACATTCGTGATGAACGACGCGAATTCACGTGGTCAATCCCTGTGTCTCATGTCGATCCCTGTATCGCACACTATCAAACTGGTGCGACACATTCTAAATCTTTAGAGCGTAGCTCAAAACATGCTACACACTTTTACTGATCTAGCGAGAGTGAGGAGAACACATATACATGTTGCAAATGTGCCAACAAGGATTGATGTACCAATAGGGCATCAAAGCAGCATGCTGCCCCCACTTGTATTACAGTGAGGTCGGCCTCACCTAATGGGCGTGCTCATGCATTAATGGTTAGCCAATCAGTTGCCCATGCTCGAAGAAAGGTAGACCAGTCGGTCCGAAGGATTCATACCCTCGAAAGATGATGAATATGACAAAACCGATTCCTAGTTTTGTAGCTATCACTTCTGTTTCAATGCATGAGGTTATTGTAGATTATGGTAGTTTCATGAAAGAGACATAACCGCCTCGCGATAATCAATAAATCCACTATGCATGTTTGGAAGCACTTTGGAAAAGAAATGAGATAATCGGCAGCAATGCACTTGCATATACTGTATCTACTGATCTTGCAAAGAGCTGACAAAGAACCAAGTTTCATAAACGAATGTTAGCATATATAAAACGGATTGACCTAAATGAAAAGATTATTACAAGTTGCTAGCTAAGTTATTAATAGAATGCGTTAAACCAGTCATGTTATCACACATCATGGACGCATTGTGTAACTTTGTAAGAGACAAATTCTGAATCTCGTCGACTTTTTTCAGATTTACAGTGGCTAAAAACCGCAAGTTCATCACCTTGAACAATGGCTATGGCCTGTAAAAAATTCCACAAGTTATGTATTAGTAGCAGCGTATAGAAATAGAACAGCATTTGATAATAAAATTAGGACAGCGTTTGATTCAGTTCATTACGAAGACAATGAATTACCTCACTTATACAAAGTTTGTGATCTGAATCAACTTTTAGGCAGCGCAACGCTGCGCGAGCCATATACTGGACCATCCTAGCATCACCAGCAGTTTCCGTCAATCTGCAGTCCATCAGTTTACCAAAGTCACCATTTTCTAGAAGTGGCAGTGCCTGTTTTGCAAGTGAAAAATCTTTCATTAGGCTGCAAATTTCTACTTCATAACCAAAAGAAAAAGACTATCGTTTTCCTTGACGATTAAATCTACATCCTAGCCAATTAGTAGCCTGTTTCAGAGTTTATTGTCAAATCAGAAACATGTTACGGAATACAGTTCTGAAGATGCACTTCCAGTTAAATGAAGCAATTGTCCTTGAAGTTTTCCAGTCACATTTGAGCTAGAATGACCGGCTTTAGGTTGGACATACGAGAGATCTTACCCATTCAATCATGGACTGGTCCTTCCCTTGGTCGTGAACCGGACTTACAGACTTTCCAGTAATAAGCTCCAGTAGGAATTTTCCATAATCTTGCACATCGCCAAAATGGCGCTTGTCATATCTAGTTTAAAATATCAAACAGCAGCTATATGAGAATATGAATTAGAACATTCTTTACAGTTCTATCCTATTAAATTAAATGCTTGTGCAGGTTATGAGGCATAATTACGAAGTTCTCTTACTTGGCTATCGAATCTTTAGTCAGAGGGGAATCCTTAAGCCACTCAGCAGATATGAAGTTGCAGAGCTTGAAGAGCAGTAGTCAAAACCAAGTACTCAGTTATAGGCAATAAGTCGAAGAGCATGATGAGTAGTAAAAAAATCAGTTGTGTTCGTTACTAACTCATCCAATTATGTAATCATTGTAAAACCATATTTAAGAGATCAACAAAGTTGAATTCGTTGTACAAATTCTATCGAACTTCCTTTTTTTTTTTACAATTATATTGGCTCATAACTTGGCATTGTTTCTGTTCCCGTATGCATATGAAGTATCAGGATGTACTTACCATTGCGGAGTAACCATGAGAAAGAGCAACGCTGAAAGCACGAACATTTTTGTGAACAATAGATCCATCAACACACTCCTCATGGAGATAGCGCAAGCTTCGGCCTATTTCCAGAGCGATAGACCACCTCACTCCCCACCCCAGTTTCTCGGCCAGCTCATCACCTACAAACTGATAGAGGTCAGTTTGAATATTCTATTAACAAAACTGAAAACAATGTAGTCTGTTATGGAAGCCGAAAAGGAGAAGAACATCAAGCGGCTCATAATAATAGAAGGGCTTGCAGTACAACCGGAGATTCAATCAACTAAAAAAGATGAACGTGCGTGTGTGTGTGCGTGTTTCGAGTTCATTAACAAAGTACTTGTAAACCAAGACTTTCGAAAACTAGGATGCATCAGTTAGAGAAGTAGCCGTTCTTACATTGCAAGTTCACGTCAACGGTACCCAAACAAGGGAAGTCATAAAGCAAGAATGGAGAAACGCCTGTGCTGCAGTACCCAACAAGGTTCGAGATGTTGCGGTGGCTCACCCGGGAAAGGATCTGTAGGATTGACCAGAAGCCCTTCCTTGTTTTCTGTAAAGACTTGACTAAAACAGGTGTTTCTTGTAATAGCCCCTGATGAACTGTTATGTCATCCACAACTCCTGTAATGTTATCATCAGCAAAGCCATTCGTTATCACTTCAAGTTCGTTGTAAGAAAACGCTCGAGGAAAACCACTTCTCCAAGACAGAGGATAGCAACAAGGATTCTGAGGATATGGCGCGGGTGCACTTTTATTTCTTAACTCGTAAACACTGAAATCTTTTCTATGCTCTTCCCGAGGATGCTCTTCAGGAGCTGCTGAATCATAATTTGGCTCAGGATTGCTCAGGCAAATCTCAGCTGGCTGTGTATCATTCGATAGCATCAAGCTAGCAAAATCTTTTTCCTTTACTACTGCAATGTTGCACGTTACATGTCCTCGTAGATAAACTTTCGATTTCTTAAAATGACTGAAAACCGAAAAAAAAATAAATTTAGAAGAAAAATAGTGGGAGAAGAGAAGAACACCGGGGTACTATATATGAACCTGTGGCATACCTGTCTAATACAATCCAACGGGTATTAAGGTTCTGTGATTCCTTAATTGCCAGTGTCGCCGGACAAAACCCGGCTGCAAGCTTAAACACCAACCTCACCTGCACATAACAGTAAACCATAGTTTTTTAGCATGGGAACATATTCAAAACATTTGACAAAACTGACATGTAAAAAGATAAATAAGAAGAAAAAACAGAAACCTCATTCTTTGAGCAGTGACTATATATAGGCTGAAGGCTGGTCCGGTATTGTCCTTTTTTTCGCTGGATTTCTTCTTCAAGATCGACAGGATGCACTTCCTCGTGGTCAATGAATACTGATCTCTCCCCTGCAGAACATATGGTATATAGTAGGCATATATATATAGTATAGTAAGTAGCAAAGAAAGCAACACATGTATAAGATGTATATACGTAGCAAACATGGGCGTAGCCAAGTTTTGAATCCCCCACCGTAATTTTGATTAGGTTATTAAATTATCATTCGAACAAAAGGAACTTACATATTCCAGAGGCGCGGAGACCCGTGAGCAACTTAAACGGAAAGCAAGAGTTCTTCTTGGCATGGTGATCAGTGAAAAATCCTAAAACAAGGAAGGTGTCACCGGGTTTAACGATATGTTTGAAAGCCCATTCGACGGCTTCCACACTTCCTTTAGTCCTATTTGCATCGACAGCGACTATCACGGCCTCTCTTTGGGATGACTGCAACTGCAAACCAGCCATCTCCCTCTCTCTTTCCACTGTGTTTATTTACTGTTTAGGAGAGGTTTTCCTTGTGATCATCAGAGGATTTTGGTGTTGCTCTGCATCTTTTTATTATCAGATTTGTTGGGTTTGTTTGTTCCTGACTTAGACAACTCCGTCATCGACAAGATGAACAGTCGAACGAGCTTGGTTGACGTTAGTTATTATCGTTGGCAATGAGGCTATCTGCATCAGCTTCTAAATTTTGTTTCATTGTTTGGAATGAAAGGAATAATTTTTCTTCGCCCTATTTTCTGCTTATTTATCGTAAGGTCGGCTGGCTCTCTTGTTTTTGGTTGTCGTGAGTTTTGTTTGACATTACCTTACTGCTAGCTGCTAAAATACATTGTTCAATACAGATAAGAACCCATTATTTGGTCTCCCAATCGTAGAAAATGCGAGAACCCATTATTTGGATTAAACATAAGCTATGAGACAGAGATATAAATGAATCATTTTATCCACGATCGAATTTATATTTAATTAATACACTATTATCGACGAAATTTTGTTTTGGTAGTGCAAGACCAAAAAAATTTTGCAACAAAATAGACTTTTGACATCATTTTTTACGCAACACATGAATGATTAGCGCGACAATATATTTCGCATCCTCGGAACCAAGGAAGAAAATATCGATAATATCAGCGATATATCGCCGATATTATCGGTTTTTCCCCAAACCGATATTTGAAGTGGTATCCAAGGAGTTTTCGTCAAAATATCGCGATATTTTGGAAATGTCGCGATATTTTTTGAACGGTGCAATCGGAGAAGAACGCCGGAGATGGTGTGCCTATTCCCGAGCCGATTTCATCCCAAAAACCTTGCAAAAACACGATTTTGAACTTCAATTTCACATATAAGGTTCAAATTTCACGCATGCAAGAGGTAATCAACATAGGGTTTAGTCGGTCAGAGTGCTGAATTTCAATGGAATCTCACCTGAAAACTTGGGTGTGCCTGGGTGTGGGTGCGATCGGGGAAGCCGAGCTTCCTTTGCGCGTCGCCGTGCTTCCCAGAGACGGAGGAGAGGGAGGGAGAGTTCAGGAGGGTGGTGGAGATGCTGCGCTGGCATCGGGGTGGACGGATTTGGGTGTGCCTGGGTGTGGGTGCGATCGGGGAAGCCGAGCTTCCTCTGCACGTCGCCGTGCTTCCCAGAGACGGAGGAGAGGGAGGGAGAGTTCAGGAGGATGGTGGAGATGCTGCGCTGGCATCGTGGTGGACGGATTTGGGTGTGCTTGGGTGTGGGTGCGATCGGGGAAATGGAGTGAGAGAATGAAAGTTCGAGAGAGAGATAGAGTTGAGAACTGAGAGAGAGTGAGGGGTCCGAGAGGGACTCGGGAAAAGAGAGAGATAGGGTGAGGGTTAGTGGGCTGCCATGTGGCAGCGTGACAGAGAGTGAGAATCAAGATGGAGGGTCCAGATTATATTAGGATAAAGGACTCATTTGCACAATTTATATAATTTCAGAAAAAGAGTGAAAATATAAATTAATCTGGGGGTCCAGATTAGATTAGGATAAAAGACTCAATTTCAGGGAAAAAGTGAAAATATATAATTTCAGGGAAAAAGTGAAAAATTTGCCAGCTCGCTATATAATCAACTTAAATCAGTTAAATCCATCATGCAATGCATTTCCTTCCAATTTTTTGTGATAAACTAATAGATAATTGACTAAATAAACTTGAAAAAACATAATCGGCATCCAAATTAAAGTTTAGTCTTATTTAACGTATTGATTTTCAATGGTTAATTGATATACTATAATTTGGAACTTCAACGCCTAGACGCATGCTTATGTGTAAGAAATATAAAGTGTCAAATTCGGCACATTATTCTTCATCATTTTATTCAATTCCTTTTTTTTAATATCCTAAATAAAACCTCCCAATATTGTACTAATTAATTATATATAAATGATTATAGTGTGTTTAAACTTCTTTCATTAATTACTACATATTTTCTACACTCACAATGTTTGCCAGCTCGTTATATAATCAACTTAAATTAGTTACATCCATCATGCAATGCATTTTCTTCCAATTTTTTGTGATAAACTAATAGATAATTGACTAAATAAACATCCTGCAAAGTTTCATTAAAAATTTCCAAGTTTTTCTTACAATTTCCGTGGTTTCCATGTAATTTTTATCAATATCGATATTATCCCGATATTTCCATCGATATTTCCGTGTTTTCAAACTACCGATATTTCCGATATTACCGATATTTTGTTCTTTGTTCGGAACTGGTGGGCGACGAACGGCTTTCATTCTTCGTGCCGCGAAATCCCAAAAAGTTAGGAGGACATTAATCGTAAAAGTTCTTTGGCCGACGAAGTGGATACTTTAGGCGTCGAAACGTTCATCACTCAAAGTTTCACTTGTTTCGGAATAAATCCCGGATCCGAACAACTCCGTCCTCATTTTATCTTCTTCCTCCTTTTTTGTGCACTCTCCCTCAAATTCCAAAACATTTTTTTCTCTCATCATCGACGATTGAAGGTCTCCTCTTTTAAGTCTCTCTTTCTCTCACTATTAAAAACAAATGTTCATTCTATTATAATAATTATAGTTTGAACGTTCAAATGTGGGTCAAATATTGTGGGTTAGCGAACTTATACAAATTTTGTGGCCGAGTGGTTAGGGATAAATTTCAGACTCATATTCCATAGTATGTCCTAGGTTCGATTATTGATGTTGGTTAGGGATGGCTAACGATTATAGTGGTCGGGTAACCGCAGTTATTTACCCATAACTGCTTATGCTCGCATAACCGTTTACCCGTTGAGTAATTGCTTAAACGGTTATATTCATACCCATAATCGTTTATAAACGGTTAACCATACCCATAACTGGGTACCTCTTTAACTGTAACCGTTTAATACCTGTTTACCCATTTACCTTTTTTTTAACATTTTTAATTTTTTTTACCATTTACCCATTTTTCACCAGTCTACATGTTTTTTAACTTGAAAATTAAAAAAAAATCATAATTTCTTTTTTTTATATAATTAAATATCGTTATAGGTATATTTATCATACATTTCAGTATTTTAATTTTTTTAAGTCTTTATATCATTTCAATAATTGAAATAATAATTTACGAAAGATATTTTTAAATGTTACCAATGAAGGTAATATAATATTTGCTAAGTATTATTGGGTTACGAAAACTGTTTAGAAGATAATATTCTTGGGTTATGAAAACTGTTTAGAAGACAATATTCTTGAGTTATTTAACCCATAATGTAAAGTATTAACATATATATATATATATATATAATTAGCTACATTATATTATAATCAGCTACAAAAACCTTGCACTATAGTCAATAACATTGATATAAGTTTTGTCTAATAGAGAATATGGTTTGTATTAATTATATATATAAAATAAACAGGTAAATACTTATCTATTTATAACTGCGGTTTATACTTATAATCATTCATTTAAATTTTACAGGTAAACAGTTATATCCATAATAATTTATTTATCTAAATAGTTACTCATAACCATAATTGTGAAATTTAAATGGACGAGTAACTAGGGAATATTTTGTCCATCTCTAGTGCTCATGAATGACATGGCCAAATGAGGCGTTCACTTGGTGGCAAATGCTGTAAATTGGTACGAATAAAAACACTGCAGCTCCACCAAAACCCTAACTGCGAAGAGAGGCGCGATAAACAGACACAAACACGCTTCCGTCGTCCTCAGTCTCTCTGCCGGCGAAGATCAGCATCTGCAGTCAACCATGGGTATTTGATTCAGTTTTATTGTATATTTATTTTCACGGTGTCTGATTGGTCGTTGACGGTGAGTGAGTGCTGTGCAGGTAAGGTTCACGGGTCGCTCGCACGTGCCGGGAAGGTTAGGGGTCAGACCCCGAAGGTCGCCAAGCAAGACAAGAAGAAGAAGCCCAGAGGCCGCGCCCACAAGCGCTTGCAGTACAACCGGAGATTCGTCACCGCCGGTGAGCTTAGCTCATCCCTCTCCTCACTTCCTCTATTTAATTTAATTTGATTTTTTGAATTAGGGTTTCTTTCTTCGGATTTTGATAGCTTAGTTCAGTTGAAATGATGTTTTGTTTATATAATATACGTACATATATACATACATATATATATATATATATTTGGATTTCGGAACAAAAGGGTTGATAATTTGGATGGATGGCTCTGATTGTAATTTTGATTGGAATTGCAGTTGTTGGATTCGGGAAGAAGAGGGGGCCTAATTCTTCCGAGAAGTAAGGTTACTCTTTGGGGAGTTTTTGCTGTTTTCTTATGAGGCTTTAGTTTCATTTGAAATATTTATTTTGTAGCCAGATTATGGTTTGACATTATCTATTGGTTCTGTTTCATTGTTCTAAAGCTTGTTTTTGATGTCCTGATTGGGAAATGCTTACTAATATCGGCCAGTTTTCAGTCTTTGACTACATGATTGTTCGATCTAGTTCTTTATTTAGTTTCTGATCTGCTCATGCCGCGTTGTTACATTGTTAGGATTGAATAGAATCAATGATAGATGAACAAAAGATAGAAGCTAGCTGCCTTTATATGAGCTTACTGAAGTCTCTGGTAGTCTCAAATACTAGACGGGTACAAGTTTAAGGAGCTGTTTGATTTTCAGATATCTAGATGTAAGTGGTATGATTTTTATTTAAACGAGGAAGCTTTTCGAACTCTGCATTTTTTGTTTCTGCCAATGGCAACGTAGCTCTCCTCTTAACAACATTATCATTCTTTCACTCCTTTTTCATAGGCCTTCACCTTGAGTGACTATTCTTCGTTCTGAGGTGTCATCTCTTTCACATCCACAGCTCCACCTCTTGGATCTAGAGGTGTTGGACTTCTCTTTCTCTGAGTTCTGTTTTTCATTTCCTCATTAAGTGTTCCTTGGTGGAACAAGAACTCGAGTCACACTAAAGAACGGGCCTTCCAAGCTGACATTGATGAATCAAAAGCAGCACTTTGGTAGTGACCCGGAACATAAGACCCAGTTCTAGATGTTTCAGTCAAGTAGAGAAGTTGGTTTGTACTAGAACGTACAATGTAGAGTTTTGATGTTTGAATGTGGTTATGAGAGGGGTACTAGCACTTGTATCTATTATTTAGTACTTGCATCTAGTTTAAAACCTGTTAAGAGCGGATGTTTCTGACCACATAAATGGAATTGAATCAGATGAATATACGAGAGTAACAGATAATGCTCTCGTGTTTGTGAAGTACCGCGGGTGTGGGATGATCGATGCACATAAAAAGTCGGATGAAATATCAGAGATGAACTTGGTTTCTTGTGATGTAACATGATAACTAGGGTCCTTGTGGATAGTCAGGCGTCCTAGTTTTGTGTGGCAATGTTCATAAACAGTTTGGAAGATGACTCCGGCATTATTTCTGTTGGAGCTCATCTTTGCTTGAGGAAAGTTTTGTTCAAAGTTGTTTGATGCTCGAAAGCAGGTGTTGGTACGCGTTGTGGGTCGGTTGACAAGTATTGCTAGTGTCTTGGTTGTATGTTTGAGGGTTGATGAGATGCTATATTATCGGACACTAGGGTGAAACTCCGTATTAGAGAGGCTATAAATCGGCGATAGGTTTGGGTATGGTGCTATTGGTTCTGATGTTTTCAAGATAGTTTGATCGTGTTTCTCATAACAAGTTCCCAAATAACTTTCACAACCATATGCGACCTACTGTATTTTAGGGTTTAATCAACGAGGCACGAGAACTCGGTTTTCACTGAACGCAACGAAGAAGCGATTCGGAAGGTTCATCATTCTGCAAGTGCTGCTGAAATCTATGACCATGGTTTGGAATGTACAAGAAAATCTCTTATACAATTAATGACTAGTTTGAACATCAAGAGCGGTCTGATCAAATTGTTTGATCAGATCGCTCTTAGATTTTTAGTTCCTTTTCCTTTCTATGTTTTGGTCGTGGGGAGGATGCCAGTAAGTCCCAAGAAACAAAACTACTTGGTTTTGGATAAGCCCAACCGATCAGCCCTAACAAGATCAATCAACAGTGGGGAAGTTGGGAGGTACATTCCGTTTCTTCTTACGTATGTTCTTTTGTTTAGGTTCATTATTTTTCTTTCCTCTTCTAGCCTTTGGAATATAGGACTCAAGCCAACAAGGCTTTCCGCTTTGCGACTTTAGAACACAGGACAACAACAATAATTAACTTCTCCTTTGCCAGTCACACAAAGGGATTTGGGAAATGTGTAAAAACAACCAAGATTTGAAACCGATATAGAATTATAGCCACGATTTTAAATTTATTGTAATTATAACCAAAATTTGATATGAAGGTACTAATATATCCTTAATGACAATTTATTTGCAATCATGCCCTTTCTTGCAATTTGGCGTTAAAGATATAATTTGCCTCTGGAAGCTTTTGCAGAGCTATACCGATGCTCCCATACCGATCAGATACAAAACACCTCCAATGGCACCTCTCAATTTATTAGAAACAATGTCCATGAACATCATTTTCTGAGCCGCCCATGCCATATTAAAACTTACAATGAAGAGAGAGGGAGAGATGAGGGGTTTATGGGGAGGGAGGGGTTAGGTGTTATATATAGGCAGGTAGAGAATAGGATGATAGGAGTGGAGGAATAAATGGAGACAATGGGGTCAGTGCATATATTTCATATTGCCTGTAGCGGATTACAAAAACTGTTGTAGCTGGGGACGGGAGAATTTGGGGTTCGGTTTGATTTCCTAGGGTTTTGTTTGATTTGTTTTGGATTTGGGCAATCACCCTGATTTGCAATGCAATTCATTTCAACCTTAAAGTTTCATAAGGGTGCGGTACGAGAGAGAGGGCTGGATGTCGACAGCAATGATCGAAAACGGAAAAGAATGATGATGAGTTTTGTTTTGTAAAGGAATTTAGTAATTAAGGGTATACTTTTATATTAGATTTAGTTAGAGTCATGATAATTATTATTAACTTAAGAGCAATTTTCTAAATATTTCGTAGCTCGCACATAAATGGTTTACACAAGTACAAAAGTAATTTTGTAGCGTGTACGTAGAGGCTTTTTTTTTTCTTTTTTTTTTTTCTTCCAAAGGCATTTGTGTCCAATTTTTTTTTTCTTGGAATAAACACATAACCGGTGCTTCTTGTTGAAAGTACTTCAAGTGCTTTTGGAACCTAAAATTATCTTAAGTGTACCTTGAAGGTAGCTAGTAAATTTACTTATACTATAACATGTGATGTAAAAACTCATATTTTGACCACACTAAAATATCTGTCTCACTTGATAGCATGTATCACATAAAGATGTTAAGCATTTCCTGTTTCGACAAGTCAGGAATAAGCACAACTTACACGCATTTGCCATTTTGTGCATATATATGCCACCAAAGTTAATGTGAATAAATTTTTCAGTGTCGGCAACACGACTTGTCACACCAAGTGACATAATATTGAGTTTTTTTTTTCAAATTTCTAACTAATTATATTATTATTCTTAGTGTACTAAATCATGTTCCTGACACACTAAAAATTGTGAGCGAAACAACGGATGAAATGTGGACAAGGATCCTCTCCGGATCCTTTATGTGGGGATTCGGAGGATCAATCAATCGTGTTTCTTCCAGAGGCATTTGTGTCCTTTTTTTTTTTTGGAATAAACACATAACCAGTACTTCTTGTAGAAAACACTTCAAGTACTTTTGGCACCTAAAATTATTTACTCTAAAAACGCTTTTAGTCATTTTAAAAGCATTTCCAAACGAGTCATATGAGTCTGCTCTCCTCTTCCCTTCTTTCTCTCTTCTCATTTGAAACTCTCATCTCTTTCCCTTGCTTTTCTCTTCCCCTTTTCTTTTCTTCGTATGTTTTATCTGTTCCCCTCATCGAACAACATTGATCAAACTAAGTTGAATCTGAACCGAACTAGTTACACTATTTAATTTAATTTTCAATTCTTTTGGGGTGAACCAAATGGAACCAAACCGTTCTCACCCGTAATTAGTGTGTTAAGCATGTTTGTTTTTAAAGGATGATAATAGATGAAGCGAGTTGAGCTACACATAAGGCTTGGTCGTTGAACTACAAAAGTAGAAACCTTACTCTCTAAACCCGAACAATGCGGGAAAAAAGAACCAAGACCTTAGGATTAGCCATCAACTACAAGTAGGCTACTTCCTTCATGCTAAAGCGATTAGAAAGGGTTAACTCCCTGATAGAACGACCTCCCCAGTCCCCTATCTCCAAATTTATTAAATAAAGAAAAGTGGAAGCAAAAAGATACAAGCGGGGGACGAAGCCAAAACCTGCTATAAGATAAAAACAGAGAAACATGACGTTATCCAAACCATTGAAAGTAGGTATCAAATAGAAAAATTAGGAAGTAGGATTCATTCCCCTCCTATTCACATCCTCTTCCATCCACTCATCTCACAAATTGTTTTTTGTCTTCTTCTGGCTATTAAAAAATTAACACAAACATTAACCTAACTTAACCATAACTATTCAAATATGAGGGAAAGGAAAGGGAGGGAGATAAGGAGAGGAGACAATCGTACTCCATCAATTAGGATAGCATTTGCTGAAGGCTACTTTATACGCACGAAAGTGAAGCAAATAATACAACGTACCTAGTCCTCTCCACTTGAGGAGATCTTTTTCCATATACCCAAATTCCAAATTACTTGCCAGTACATCATATGTCATACTATACGTAAACATCTGCTGACTTTATGCTCTTTGTGAGCTCTAAATTGTTTAGTTAGTATTTTACAACTGATATAATTAAACAAAAAAAATAAAATAATATGACGCATATATATAAATTAAGATAACTTATTGTACTCACGTTGTCCAAACCATTGAAACTAGGTATGAATTATTATATATTTCCAAATGCTTGCGTTCTGACTGAAGGTTACCTTTGTTTTTAGGAGTATGATATCCACATATCCCATTTTACTTTTCACACACATTTTTAATTTTTGGCCGTCAGATCAGATGAATTGAAGAAGATCAATGAACATAAATTATTAAGAGGTTTGTGAGAAGTAAAATGGGGTATGTGTATAGCACACCCCTTGTTTTTAATACACACGACAGTGAAACAAATAATACAACGTACGTGGCCCTCGCCACTTGAGATCATTTTCCATATACTTAGATTTCATGTTGGTATATCACGTGTCATACGATAAGTAAAATGACATATATATTTAAGTGTTCCTTGAAGGTAGCTAGTAAATTTACTTATACAATAACACGTGATGTAAAAACTCATGTTTTGAACACACTAAAATATCTGTCTCACTTGATAGCATGTATATGTTTGGGCCCAAAGTTTTTAGGGTCAACAGTATCACATAAAATGTCATTTCCTGTTTCGACTATTCAGGAATAAGCACAACTTACACGCATTTACCATTTTGTGCATATATATGCCACCAAAGTTAA